CTAAGGACGGAACCCTATAAAAGAATGTGAACTAGATGATGGCTTTGTAGGCTCCTCGCTTTTTACCTATCTACTTGTTTAACCTTATCCAGCGCAGCGTTCTCAAGTTCCTTAGTGAGTTTCGCTAAAATTACCTGTATAATGATATTACAAAGCAAAGATATACTTCTTTAAGAGAGGTCATTTCCATATTAATTATTAAAAGGCCGAATGTAACATTTTTCTTATCATTGTTTTGTTAAATTGATGCTAAATCCTGCATGTCTGATCCAACCTGAATGGAGAATGGTACGCATTGCCTTCTCTGGAATGTTTTCTTGGAAACTATATAAAAACATACACAACCCTAGTCGACCAGAAAACACTTACAACATTTATTATAAAAAAGGAACCCTTACATTGAAAATACAAGACTCCTGGAAGATCTAAAGTAACGAAAACCAATATTATTTCTGAATTCAGCTGCCCGTAAAGAACTGTATTCCCAATCAGAAAATATTCAGGAATAATTATAGTGGACATATCCCTACATGCCTATCTATAAATCTAATATTACACATCTCGGATCATAGCTGAATCAGGACACGTTTTATCACACACGGAAACATAACACCTCCGCAACATGCTTATAGAGAACGCAAGTATAATAGCCTCATGTGCATGCCAAATAATTAATAATGATGATGGAAGCGCTAATAATAAAAAAGATATGCCAACATGCAATAACATCAAATATTAACTCGACCACAGTGTGGTGACTATGTTTGAAAAATAATAAATTATCCCATCATTCTAGAACCATATTAAAACTTCCACAGCTTTATTTGGAAATAAAAAAAAATCAAAAACAGTACTTGATAGTGGCTACTATAATAGCCAAAAGCGATATACAGAATTTTTTGGACAATTTTGAAACAATTACATTTCGAAAAAACACCAACAGTAAATAATTTCTTTTAAAATTTTTAATCAATTTGGCAATAGATTTCATTGTAAATGTTATCGTTGTGGGAACATGTGTTTGCTCACATGATGGAATAAGCTTTTCAGTGTCAATTCTATCTCTAACGGTGTATATCCCCGAAATACTTCTTAAAATAAATTAGTGTGTCGACAATTATTATTGTCTTCCTATTCCACACCACAATTTTCTAAGCATGCTGGTACGGTACGGTATTATTTCCTTTAGTAAAACATCCAGTGTTAAATTCCTGTAGAATTAATTACATTGTTTATAAACAAAGATATCTACTAAATTGTTTAATGCTGCGATAGGTTAATGCTGCAACATCGTGTAAATTAATTTTAGTGTACTGGGGAAGCAGCTCATTATTGAAACTTATATAGTTAAATATCGCAGACTGCGAATATTTTCTCCCGAAACCAAACTCAATATATGAAGCCTAGAACGGCTCATGATAAAACATAATAGAAATTTGCTCGCTGTTACATTTAACACTATATATTTGAAAACATATGTCTGTTGTATGTGTCTATATACAGAAGTGTGTGTGTAGGTGAAAATTGAAATTGTTAGAAAAGTCTGATCAATAACTTGGTGTATATAGAAAATAATAAGATTTGGAAAGCACAAACACACATGCACACACATACTCTCTCACACACATGCATACATACATACACACATATATATATATATATATATATATATATATATATATATATATATATATATATGTATGTATGTGTGTGTGTGTGTGTGTGTGTGTGATCTGATTCGAGCAATTCTAATGGAATGCATGCCATGACTCCACTGAGAGGCGATCCCACTGCTTATCCAAATTTTTCTTTTGAAAATCATTCTTGATTTGTGATCAGACGACGGAGTTTTATTATTTATATACTAGCATAAAGAGTTTTATCTTTGATTGCATTAGGTGCTATTTTTGGAGATGATATTTACAAACAAAAATTAGGATCAACAATGGGATCGCCTCTTAGGGGAGTTATTCTTAGAATTTCACGAATCTGCTCCTTTCAAAAATATTTGACACACACACACACACACACACACACACACACACACACACACACACACATATATATATATATATATATATATATATATATATATATATATATTAAGCATTTCACCCCTAGGAAAGCGAAAGCCACTAACACGTAATGGGTTACCGAGGATTTGGAGCGAGAGCAGATGTGGAGGATAGAGGAAAGTATGAGGAGAAGGATAGTGGATAGATCAGGCAACTGGAGATGTCGATTGACATTACATTTTAATAGTTGGAGATTACAGCTCCCAGGGGAAACAGTAATAGGGAAGGGTGTTCCACAGACGAGAGGTGCGAGATATGAAGCTATTGGAGTAGAAGAGGCGGCTAAATTTAACAGTTTCAACAGTGAAAGGGTGAGAGCGGGATTCTAGTTTCGTAGGTCACTTGAATTCGCGAAGTCTGGGAACCAGCGAAAGTAGCTCATCGGAGCAATTACCATGAAAGTATATGTAAAAAAGACAGTGAGTGGCGCTGGAATGTCTGTGAGCGAGCGATTGCAGGCGAGATGCCAGAATAGGGCCAATTATATTGCATATCCGTCTCTGGATCTTATCAAGAACCCCGAGACAAACAGAAGGGGCTCCAGACCATATAGGCAGCAATACTCCATGCAAGGGCGAAGGGTAGATTTGTAGATTTGAAGGATCGATTCCGGGGAGAAAATTTTCCTGGCACGGCACAGGGAGCCAAATTTCCTTGCGGTGGACGAAGCAATTGACTCGATGTATTTGTTCCATCTCAGGTCAGCAGTCAACGTGAGACCGAGCAGCTGCAGAGAGGTGCTCTCGGGAAGTTGAACATCAGACATTCTAATGGGGGCGGATCTATGTGGTGATTAATAGAGAGCAGTTTTGTTTTGGAGGCGTTAAATTTAACCAGCCAATTACTGCCCCAGTTCACAAGCGATTGGAGGTACTTGTCGAGACGAACGGCCAGGTTAGTGTTGTCAACGACACTCGATTTGTTTTTGAGACAGGGGTATATCTTAATTTTATCACATCCCAATCCTTTGGTTCCTGTTCGCATGATTTGAAAATATTCACAAGTAAACACAAAAATAATAAAATATTTATTTAACTTCAATCACATTAATCCTCGTAATTGACCCCAATGAACTCACTTGGCATAAAAAAGCGTTAAATTTCAGCTCTCGTTACTCGATGTTCGCGTAACCTAAATTTGAATTGCTACACTTGCTGCGAGCCCAATTTCCTCCCAAATATGGAATTTGATGTCAATGAAAAATTAATGACTTTGATATGTTTCATATTTTAGTATGAGATACGTGAAGGACTGATCATTAATATCGTATTTGATAAACATTAATTAAATCTTGCATAATAATTTTACATTATAGATTTACTTTTCTCCACGCCGGGACGTTCATCTCATGTCACTTCATTAATTCTCAAATTAATCCGCCGCGTAATAAAATCTTTGAATGAAAGAAGTATACTTATTTTTTTAACTAGACAACATGTTCACATGTGTGTAACGTAGTGGTTGTGTATGCAGTTCGATACGAGCCTGCAATATTTTTTTTCTTTTTTTTTTGTGAGATTACACACAGTAATTCATATAAACAGAATAACATGAGTTGATATTTCCCAGATGTGATTAAATTGCTGGGTCTCTATTTTTTGCTTGACAGAATCGGTCTTTGTTCGTGCCTGGGCAAATCTAATTTTGAGATGCAGGGGTCATTCTATATGAAAATCCGTGTAAATCTCAGTTTTCTTTCATTATAAGTCAAGATTTGTTTTACTTTTTTCGGGAATCAGAATCGAAATAAGAATAAGGATATATAATTGTGATGAAATGATCTAATTTCAGAAAGGAATCAACATGTTATTTTTCGTACGTGCCTTACACACGGCAAAATCAAATAATGGTAAATATGTCGCTGCAAAATCACACAGACAATCTTCATATATATTAAATAAATAAAAAGAAATTCGTTCGAATGCAATGCATTCATTCGCTATTACTAATGAACAGGAAGGATATTTTCTAATCTATATGTTTATGTTATATTGCAAACATACAATTTGATATGCAACAGGGATTTTACATGCATGAATATGCTCTGAACAATTTTGGAAATTCTCACTAAATGAGCAAACATCTCCGCTCAGGATGGGGAAGATCATGGCACATTTCAAAATCATTTGGGATTTGTTTTGTGTTGACATAACGTCCATTCATCTACCATAATTTCTCTTTTTAGTTCTGCAATCCAATCATTTAAATTCGTCAAGAACGTTACCCGATTTTCCAAAATGGTTCTCTTGTATTAAATGTCTGTCTGGTTAAAATCTCCAAGACAAAACTCCTTACAATACACATTAGAAATTTAGGCTGCTATATACAAATTGTTAGCTGCAGTTTATTTGCAGTTAATATTCTTCTTAAAACATCCAAGTTGTGTATAACAAGTGAGGCAATGGAGTTAATCCTGCCTCGAGTGCCAATTTTATCTTGTCAGTGAATTAGAATTCAGAATATCCCTCCAAGACTTGTTGCCGTGTAAAATCATGAGAGTTCGCTTTCTTTTTCTATCTTTCCGATAGCTCAGAGGAGAAGAAATGCTTTAATGTTTTTTTTCGCAATTGTCATAATGGGAAACGAAAATCTCTAACGAGGACCTGGAATTTTAAATCGAGCTGCCGATTTTTTTTCTTTTCTTGTGCCGACAAAATTTATCCTCCTAACGCATCTCAAAACGGTACGCGTGTACGCACACAGCTACGGCCCACCCACTACAAAAATTTTGCTGATACACACACACACACACATATGGAGATAACATAATTGTCATCACAAAAATAGGGATCGGCTATATGAATTCGGAATCCTCTTCACTTCGTATTAATAATCTTTGAAATATTCATAAGCATATGATCACATTAGAGTTTCTTATTTATTTTGATTTGTATTTTTTTAAAATTATTAATGAATAATTTGTCTATGGCTTGTCCGGCGCTTATAAACACACTCACACACAAATCTATCTATCTATCTATCTATCTATCTATCTATCTATCTATCTATCTATCTATCTATCTATCTATCTATCGTGGATTACTTACAGTGTGCTTGGTTGATAAGTACCTTTAATAATTTTACCGAACGCAAAGCGATAATGCCCTGAAGAAAAGTAAAATAACAGGTTGCAGGAAGACAGGTTATGATGATTGGCGTTGCATTAACAATTTTTTACATTGTAAGTGCCAGGGAAGCAAAAAACGGGAAGAGATTTCCAAGAAGATAAGTGCGAGAAAAGAAACTACTAAAATAGAACATAGGATTGCATCTAGTTAATTCTACATAAATCCGTGGAATTTTGTTGCCAATATAATAGCCAATGAAATTCGTCCATTTGAAGAACCAATGAATTAAGTTCATCAGAACATTTGAACAAATGGAAATTTTTATGGAAATGTCAGAGAGAAGCCACGTTATGATGGTTGGAAAGTGATAGAACCCGAGATGCCATATCAAGATCGACTGCATTATAAACACTTCTTTGGATTTTGTCAAGAATTTTGAGAAATAAAAAACAAAAAAAAAACAAACAAACAGTAGACCGGAATTTATAATAATATCCCCCAAAGTTGTGGATATTTAAATGTCCAAAACGGATTCCGAGCAGTAAAATGTTCTAGCATTATACAGTGAACCAACTAAAGGTCTACCTAGTAATTCATTCAATAGAATCACTTCAGTTTATTTCAATGTTAAAATTGAGCAAAAAATACGTTTCCGGAGTCTAGCAATAGCAATGCTGACGGAAAGTAGAAAAGATTCGTTTTGGTGATTAAATGTTATCAGTTTTCTTTTCGTTAATATTCTCCAGGCATTTTTACCTCCCTTGTCCACTGGTTCGTGATCAGATGCTAGTTTCACTTTGCCAAGCTTGTCTGGTTGCTACTAAGACAGAAGTAAACATTTGAATCATCATTTGATAAAGGAAGGGAAGATAACTGATTGAGTTTAATGATGAGAGCACATTGAAGAACGGTCCATAATTTCAAGAGACTGTTCCCTTCCGGCTTAGAGATTTTCAGGAAGAAAGACCTCTATGTTATGCATATGGACACTAGAATCCTTTCGAACGATTGGAAGATAACCCTGAACAGACTATTCAGTGGTAGAGACGGAAAGGTTTGTATAGTTTCATAGTGAGCTCGCATGATTGGAGAACGTTCCTAGAGAAATGATTCTGAACTATAATCATTTTTAATTCTTATCAACACTTTGCGTGTTATTTAAAACCGAATCATATTTGGATTGAAATAATAAATATTGTGGCGATGGAATATTGCATTACAATTTGTTTGGGAAGTGTCTATTTTTATAATGTGTTTTCTGTTGTTTTTTAAGTATTAAAATATAAAATAATGTTATGTCAAACATATTTGTCAAAGTACAGTGTTGTTCGATAAAAGTGACTCGCCTAATATTTTTTAATTAAAAAAAAATTTCGCCTATTGTTTTGGGGGTCAAACTAATTTTTCATCTTACTAATATAAAGACCACTTCCTGACCATCTAGTAAAAAGTTTACTCACCCTAAGATGTTCTATTGATAATTATAATTTTGGATATAAATGAGATTTAAGGAAAACCTCTGTGCAAAAAAAGTGACTCACTTATTTCCTGTAACTAGTAATCAATAGAAACATAACAGAACAGCTTTAAATAAAGAATAATAGAGGTATAATTTATTTATAATAGGTAGTATAGTTCAAAATCTATGGGTCCTCCTTTATTTTGAATAACCTTTTCAACCCTTTTTGGCATTGATTTGATTAGGTCCTGGCAAATCTCATCTCCAAGCATTGAATTCCATTCGGATATGAAATTCACAATCAAATCTTCTTTGTTGCTCAACTGCTTTCTCGAGAACCTGTACTTTATAAGTTTTCTATGGTGTTATGGTCAGGAGATTGGGGCGGCCATGTCATAACACTCACCTGCTTCTCATCAACGTATTCCTTCATCAATTTTGATTTGTGACAGGGAACATTATCCTGCATAAAAATGAGCTTGGTGTGGTCGATTTGCATCCTTTCAGCAGAAGGGAGCAGACAAGACTCTAAAATTCTCTTGTACTGCTCGCTCCTGAGGGTCTTTTCAATAGGGTTTAAGAAACTAATTCCATGTAAAGAAATGCATCCCCAGAATATCATACTGAAAGGATGCTTGACAGTACTCACTGCTAAATTCAAAGAGATTTCAAAGCTTCTTCTTCGGATTTTAGATCGCTTATCCTTTGCATTTAGCTCTCATTTCGTTTCATCGGAGAAGAGAACATTTCGTAAAAAAAATATCAGGTGAGTCACTTTTATCGAACAGCACTGTATATCTAAATATTCACGGCCAATGTATAAGAATGTTGTATATCCAGATGTGAAAAGAGCATTCTTTGTGACAATTTACACAGGAAAATATATTATTCAATTCTATTGAATTTGCTTATTTTAAGAAAGTTGTCTAAGGAAATGAAAAAAAAATTGAAAAAAAAAAAATGAATTACTTCATGATGAATGATTAAATATGTTAGCCTGTATAATTTAAACAAATGTAATAGAGATATCAAGGAATTCATTAAAAATAATTAATTTCGTCCGTCAGTAACTATCATTCTTATTCGTTGTGCTGTATTTCATCAGGATATATGCAATCATGTCCCTCCACAATTTCCAAACATTTGTAGCGTTTTGCTATGTTTGTCTTCTTACTATGCAATTGATATGGATACGTAATTAAGCTTAACATATGAATGAGACAATTAAGATTTCTGAGACACATTATGAGAAATGAAGGCCTGGAAATATTGACACTCACAGATAGAAATGAAAGAAAGACTAGAACGCAGAAACTGTCATTCTTCTTCTTTTTTCTTCTTTTTCTTCTTCTTTTTCTTCTTTTTCTTCTTCTTTTTCTTCTTTTTCTTCTTTTTTCTTTTTTTCCTTTTTCTTTTTCACCTTTTTTCTTCTTCTTTTTCTTCTTCCTTTTCTTCTTTTCTTCTACTTTTTCTTCTTCCTTTTCTTCTTTTTTCTTCTTTTCTTCTTCTTTTTCTTCTTTTTCTTATTTTTCTTCTTTTTTATTTTTCCTCTTTTTCTTCTTTTTCTCCTTTTTTCTTCTTCTTTTTCTTCTTCCTTTTCTTCTTTTTTCTTCTTTTTCTTCTTTTTTCTTTTTTTTTTCTTCTTTTTTTTTTTCTTCTTTCTTCTTTTTCTTCTTCTTTTTCTTCTTTTTCTTCTTCTTTTTCTGAAATGGCGATCATAAATCTCCATAATTTCTTGTCCTATGCAGCTCTTAATAATTTTTTGTGTATTTTGGTTATCTCTCTTAAACCATTATCTATCATCCATTCAGTCAAGTTGGTTAGTTAAATTATATATTGTTTTCCTCTGTCTTTCTTTCCTTCCATCTTTTCTGTGAGTATCAAATTTTCAAAACACTATTTCCTCACAGCCTCTTTATATGTAATCTTTGTTCCCATTTTCTATTAAATTCTGACTTGGGTCACATGATATTCTCAGCGTCTTACTGTAGAACCACATTTCTCTTGCTTCAAGTCTTTTCTCCACTCGTGAAGACATTGCCGACCATCCACTACCATAGATGAGTAATTATATTATTTTTTTCTCTTTATTTCTAAAGGCATCTTTCTGTTACTTTGCTCTTTTCTTTCCCAATGCACGTCCGCGTGTCAGTGTCGCGCATTTCCTCTTCTGTTAAAACACTTCCCAGTCATTTACATTCTTGTATTTGTTTCATTTTGGTATCTACAATTTTTATTTTGTATGATGGGTTGTTCCTTTCTTTTTTCAAATGCAAGTATTTGATTATTACCTATGAAACGTTTTGTCTATGATCAATAATCGAGTTGTTAATATAGATATTCCTCTGCCACTATTAGCTCATAAAAATCCAAGCTAAGAAGTTACTTTGAATCCAAATAATAATAATAATAATAATATTGTATTTTGTTTGGAATTAACATTTTAGCGACATGTTTTATAAAGAACAATAATAATAATAAATAAATTTTGACATGATAGAGAAAGTCGATATCTGCACTGGAAAATATGCAAATTTTACGGGAATAAAACTGGAAGAAACTGGTATAAACATCACTCCGAATCAGTTACAGAGATAGGACCTGTAATGATTTTCCTTCATTTTACAATATACACAGCAGGAACAATCAATGCTACTCATGATCAAATAACCCAAAAATAATATGATTTATTTATTGATATGTCATCCTGCAGATTGTAATGTATCTTTGAATCTCTTCACGAAACTATGAAAATACAAGGATCTTAAGACCATCAATAATTCCAGTTGTAGTTGGAGCTCTCAGATTGATTTGAAAACGTTCATATAAACTGATTAAAGTGATTCCAGGTAGCCTATGCCTTAATGACATACAAAAATTTTTACTCACAATTATAATGATTAATGATTTATTATATATATATATATATATATATATATATATATATATATATATATATATATATATATATATATATATATATATATATTATAAATGGTTATCTTGTGTATTTTGTTTTGACTTTCTCTTACAAAAAATGATCAATGGAAAAAGTTATGAAATCATTGGTAAACTTATATCGCCAGTTTGGACCTGAAAGGAAATGTATATACAATAGAAATCAAAAGAAATAATCATAATAATACCAATATTATAATAATAACAACCAATGCCGCCTATAATATCTACGAAGAAAAATATCCCTCAAACATAACTAACATTGATGCCAACAAACAATCAATGTCAGGCGTGATATCATGTGAAAAAATACCTGATACAGAACACGAATTTGTCCGAGAAAACATCGAACAAAAAATAGAGTAACCTTTATCGAGGGCTTAATACCAAAAACCCAGAAGAGACACATACAAAAGAACAAATAGAAACCAGTTGTAATCATCCGTCTGATGTAGAAAAGCAAATAGAGGAAAATAATGACGAATATAAGAGAGAAACATAAATGAAAAAAAAAAAACCTCCGATATTTATGAGAGAATGTAAAGTTGATAGATATATTTATCGTATTGCTCATTTTAATCGGAGTTTTAAAATATATATTGTATAAGAAAAGAGAGTTATGCAAAAAAAGCATGAAAGATCATTATAGAATACTTCTTCTTCCATGTACGCTTCCTTTTAGAACATGGTCAGTCATGGCTTTTTAAACCTCGTATACAGTGTAGACATTTGCACTGTTAGTGCGTTTGCCAAGCCTCCCAAACCGTTCCAAAATTCATTCATATATGCTCTTCAGGTAGGCTACCAGCTGTTTACCACATCCATTTTTCTTCTATATTTCCCATCATGGGCATATTCTCCAAGCTTTTCTTCATTATACACTTACTATTTACTTAAAAATAGGACATTTCATTTCTTTTTTGAAGAATTTTCCGGTGTTTGATGACATAAGTTCTTTCCAGAACTTACATTATCAGACATCGCAGTCAGTTTACAGATCCCAGTTTCTTGTGTCGTGGCGATCTGCACTCTGCGAGGCAACGGTGACATTTGTTTAAACTTTAATGGAAGTAGTTTTGCGAACTATATTTCAGTAATATTATCACGTGTTTCTGGATATTTTGGATGTCAGCGAATCTTTGTCCTTTCAGGGGATTCTTCCATATGTAAAATAGCCAAATATCAGAACAGAATCAGGACAATGCCTCAATTTTATGAGGAATATCTTAACCGTGGATTAGCGAACAGTTAACGTATTTGACGCAGATTTATTGTCAAGTATAGAATCCATTTGAAATGCTTGTGTCCTGAACTTTTATTTCAAACAGTTGCACGTAAATCTGTCAGGAATTTCCAAAGAAAGATTATTATCTTATTATGTGTCAGCTCCGTACATATCTCATCATATTGTATGTGTTATTGTCCTAAGACAATTAAGATGTTGCACTGAAAGCGCTTGGCTTTTTCCGAGCATTTTCAACGTGAACTATTTCAATACTGTTAAGTGTTTACTAACACTGTTCTATATATCCATTCAAAAATACATGTCAATCCTATGCTTCAGATTAATTTCATTCCACCAAACGTACAACAGGGATATTACATCTTTATATATAGCTCGTCAACGACTTCCTAATTAAACTTGTCCCTACAAAGCGGATATCGTAATTTATCTGAATTTGATTGTGTAGAAATATAAAACTGATTCATTAATCCAGCGATATGTCTCACCTGTTGCTACAATGAAATGTTATCATTTGGTACATATTTTAACTATAATTGTTTAAGACAGCATTTAGATTGTATGTTTTATGCTATACTTCCTCTTCTATCAGATACTAATCTTTTTGTTTTGTTTTGGTTTCTATTGAAAATGCATCAGTATTTCCTTATGTACGGCACTTTGATAATTAATATCGTCAAATAGTGAAATCATTATTGAGTCAATAGGAACGTTACAATTAAATTAAGTTTTACGTGATTCATAACTTGCAAAAATAATTAATTGTTAATTTTTGCAAACTGATTTATAAATTTGCGAAAAAATATATCCTATATCTAAATAAAAATCTTAACAAATAACTTGCAAACTTTTTTTTATTTCAAGAGACTTGACCTGTATTATTGTACATGTTTCCTTTAAGTTCATTGTATTATTCCGTTATATCAATGACACTTGGGTAGCTCTTTATGCAAACGTAATATCTTTTGCAGTTATTCAACTTGGAAACCTCAAAAAATTAATACTAGGTTTTACTGAAGAAATACAAATCCCGAAACTAAACATCTTTAAGGACAAATTATTTCCTTTGTTTCGGCAATCAGGGGAGAAATGGAATCTTCCTTGATGGTACAAAACTCTTCTTAAGCTTCTAATCCATCATCCCTTTTCTTAATGCTCAATTTGCTTGTTCACATCGATTCTTGTCTACTTAAACTATTCTGTACAGCATTTTGCATGTTAAACTACAAATTTCTTTTCAAAGAACCAAGATCGGCAGCTACTTCTCTTAAATTTATTTTTGGTTCCTCAAAACGTTTGTTTGTTACAGTTGATGGATGATATTTCTCAACAAATGGAAAAAGACTAGAAAATTAACAGCATATGTTCTAGACGCGTTGCAATTCTCCTTAACTGCTTTAAGAATCTTAAGTACCCATCGGGTTTTCATATTTAAATTTTATCTCTTCTTCTCTTTCACTCTATATTGGTTCAGTTTGCCGCTTTAAAGAAATTTAAAGCTATGTTTACAATTTGTCCCCTCGATTTTAGAGTGTTTTATATATATATATATATATATATATATATATATATATATATATATATATATATATATTGTAAAATAGTCATTCAAAGAATAAATCAATAAAAAATTTAATAATAATTCAGTAAGTAATTTTTTTATTGATTTAAATAATAACAGCACATTTTTTAATAATGCATCTTTCGACAAGTTTCTCATCCATTTCCGTCTTGGAATTTTACACGAAATTACTGATGTTAAGGAAAATAACATCTATGCCTGAGGATGGTAAATATCTTTAATATAGTACTTGCAAGCAATATGGACTGAACATCTAATTTATTGTAACAAGGATCATGTCGTTCAGCGAGTGGTGAGTGAGTTGATGACTTATTAATCTGTTAGCGAAGTAAGTTTGAAGTTAATTACATTAATATTATTGGTTTATTTTTCGAATGACTATTTTACAATATTAATTAATCTATATTGTTTAATATATATATATATATATATATATATATATATATATATATATATATATATATATGGGTGGTGGTGGTTGTCTTTTTTCGTTTATTAAAAAACAGGACTAATATTCATTGTTTTTGTACAGATATCATGAAGACAGACAGAATTCAATTCATTGTTGTCACTGTAAACCATAATTTTTGAATTTCAGGAATATTTTCAGTGCATGGCTCACAGAGCACTGTGAAACTCAATAACAAATAAGAACGAAAAGTCTTCTAATGTGTAATTCATTATTTTATCGATATTAGCAATTCCTTTATCATTTCACAATACATGACAACTTGACATCAATTTTCACAACCAGAATTTAATGTTAGCAAACGGAATCACCGGTAGAAATTGCTCCGGAATAAAAAAAAAAATACATTACTCGTTTGTATTACTTTTTGACAAAACAAACTTTCGCGCAATCTTAGACTTCATAATTATTGCATTATGGAATTTCAGAAAAAAAGTATGGTGTTAACCTCTGTT